CACCTGAAATACTTTGTAAGGCTGAAACCAGCAGCCTGGATTAAGAAATTTATTTAGGCAACGTGTAGCAAGATGTGTCTTCTGAGAAAGCATGTCAGAAACCAAAGCTGAATGACTGTAAAATTGGTTTTATTAAAGCACAATATATGCATTGAAAATAATTTCCATCAAAACAGAAATTGGTAAGATTGGCTCATCAGTTGTGGAACTTTGTGCAGAGTACACATGCTTCCATCAGTGAAGACAATTTTTATGTTTTGCTTCTACTGATAAAAAAATATCTAGGTTATAAGTAGGGAAAAACAACCTTTCCTTTGCCTTTCTATGTTCAGTTTAACTGAACATTTTTACTGCATTTTACTAATTTAAAACTGAGCTAACATAATGATTTTACTTTTTATAATAAACGTACAAATGTTGACCTATTTAAAGAAGGCTTCCCTGCAGAAGAGCCAAGTCTCTCATTCCCCACAATGCCTTGAATACACAAATGAAGCAGGCAAAAGTAGACCAGCACCTTCAGTGGCCTCATGTACGCCTAAACTTAAAATGACAAAATTGTCATTATTGAGGAAAAGAACTTAGAACAGCACTGAACATAGTGCTCCACAAATGTTTATGCTTTTCGTATGTTTCTAATTTTCTTACCAAATTTCTAGGCCTCCATTACTGTAATATTTAAGAAAACGGATTCATTTGGCAGCATATTTGAAAATGTGTTGTTTCCAATGTGAAATAAAGAATGAAATTAAGTTTTTGGCAGAAGTGAGAAAATTACAGCATGAGATGCTGTATGTGTCAAAGCAAGTTTGCATGCACACAATAAGCTTCATCTGTTTGGATGATATTCAAGTTTTATATGTGCACCAAATACACTGAACCTAACACTCCAAAGAAGAAACTTAAGAAACTCACAACTTGCATGTAAATGTCCAACAGACAGAAACATTCATACTGTACTATGTTTTACTGTGTCCATAGACAGATAAATGCATACAGATATCTGTAAGTTCAAGTCTGACAAGAAAACTCTTCCACTGAGAAGGCCCTTTTGCATTTGATAAGATATGCATGTATTTTCATATCTGAGCAGAACCTTTGGTCATGTTTCAAACCTGCACAACTCTGACTGGCTCACATCAATTATCTTTTGTCTATAGCCAACCAACCCTTCAAGGGAGGGTGAGCTGTCTAGGTTCAATGTGGAGAGACTGATCTGGTTTGACCTGATGATACCCAACAAAACTGAAAGAACAGGCAATAACTTCCTCAGTCTATTAGTGCACTATAAACTGAATAATTTAAATACTATAGATTGGAATGATTTGTATTTGTTGTTATTTTCACCATTGTTTTGTAGAAAAATTGAACCAATAAATGTAAATAAGATGTTATTAATGAATCAGGAGTCCTGCTGGATAATACTAAACATAAGAAACAAAAGAACAAAAGAAAAGGAACCTGATGAATACAAACTAAAATCCATGAAAATGATTCTAACAGTGCATAACTGTGACAAATATCTAAATATGTAATAATTGTACCCTATAATAAAAATGTTACTCTATAATAAGATCATCGTTCACTGCATTTTATGACTATACAGAGCAGACTTTGCCCCCTTTTGGGCAGGGTGCTGAAAGTTTGATGCATTTTTCTGAATCATTCCCAAGCTATTTTGATCTTCTGCATATTCATACAGGTGGGTGGTGTGACTTTGACGTATGACTCTATGCAGAGTCTGTTTAGAGAGCCCTTAATTACATTTATGAGTAAAAACTCATTTAGTTGTTTATCTATTGACACTTGCCTTGCTTTAATAAATTTGGCAATCAAGCACAAAATAGATTCCAATATCTAAAAGTCTTTCTGATCCATTATCTTCACAGTATACCACTGTCTATCGTACTGTTGTTCAAACAGCATATCAAAGCATGGACCCAAGTGTAAAATCCCATATAAAGCAATTTTCAGTTTTCCCCAGAGAAGTTTGTGCTAAATTGTGTATCCCAGACTGTCGTGAAAATGGCATATCTTAGCTGTCGTTTGCCATTTGAATGGGCTTAGCTTGAAAGAGGAATGTTCTGAGGCATCAGGGTTAAAGGGTTAGTTCACCCAAAAATGAATATTCTGTCATTAATTACTCACCCTCAGGGGCACCGTAAGGGGGGTTAGGACAATTCCAAGGGCCCGGCGTTAGAGGGTAAATGCGATGGGGAATGCGATGTCAAATGCAAATTTACTGCGGGGAACGCGGAACGCGATTTCTACCGAGGGGGACATGGAACGCAATTTCTACAATTTCATTCTACAGCATGAAGCTACGAGCTACGAATCTCTTAATTTGTGTTCAGAAGATTAACGAAGGTCTTATGGGTTTGAAACGACATGAGGGTGAGTAATTAATGACAGAATTTTCATTTTTGGGTAAGCTATCCCTTTAAATTTTGAAAAGACCTAATGGGAGGAAAAGGGTGACAGACTGCACTCCACTACACACTCCACTATCGCGACTACCCCGCCCCCCACTTAATGTGATTTTACAATCTTCAACATCCCGCCCCCCACACTGAATGGGATTTTGCAATTAACATCACACGCACCTGCAGCGCTTCTGTGAACAAAGAAAACAGAATAAAACTATAGGCTTACATAAAAAGAAATGTAGGCATATACACAAAATATATTTTACTTAAATCATTGACAGATTAGCAAAACGAAAGAAAAAATTGTGCTGAGTTACGGTTCTGTGTGACGTGTTCCAAAGTTCTCGGAAATGAAAACGAGACAGCAGAAAGTAGTTTTCTTTCTTATGCAAAAGCTTTACAGTTTTATTTATTTTGCAAAATCTTGACAGTTTTGAATAATGTCTTCTGTATAACCAACCAGCGTTGATATGACCATTGCGCTGGCGCCTCACGCGCACACGCAGCATATTTTTGCGACATTGCAGCATGTTCATTATCAAAATAAAATACAGTTAAAGAAACAAATAAAAAGTTACACTGCTCCGTTGTACAAAATCTGTTGCGTTCAGCGTGACCACCGCCTCACTGTGCTAATATAGCCGATGTAAAGGATGATGTTTTACGTTGATGAAAGTACAAAGCCTATAATAAATAATATTTTAGCATCCAGATACGTCACGAATATGGAAACATTTGGATTCGTGCTGAATGAGAGAGGTAGGCATCAGTTTCACATACATTTTTTTTTTGATTTACATTTTTATAGCCTAAATGCGACTTATGCATTTTTCACTCCCAAAACGCAATCTTATAGGCTACAAGTAGCGTTTTTTAAACAATGCAACAAACATTTTTAAATATCTTAAAACTTTCCTATTGCAGCAACCCCGGCCCCCACTGAATGTGATTTTGAGGGGCCCAGAATTCCTAGCGACAGTTCTGGTCAAAGAACACTGAGAAAAATGCATGGGTGGGTTGGATGCAGTGTATAGACTGATGAGCCAAAACATTACAACCAGTCACAGATGAAGCGAATATTGTAGATCAGGGGTGCCCAAACTCGGTCCTGGAGGGCCGGTGTCCTGCAGAGTTTAGCTCCAACTTGCCTCAACACTTTACAGTTTTCTTTATGTTGCAAAAGCTTGACAGTTTTGAATGATGTTTTGCTTATATCTGTATAACCAACCAGCGTTGGTATGACCATCGCGGCGGCGCCTCACGCACACACAACATTGTGACATTGCAGCCTGTTCATTATCAAAATAAAATACAGTTAAAGAAACAAATAAAAAGTTACACTGCTCCGTTGTACAAAATTTGTCACGTTCAGCGTGACCAGCTCCTCACTGTGCTGATATATAGCCGATGTAAAGGATGATGTTTTACGTTGACGAAAGTACAAAACCTATAATAAATAATATTTTAGCATCCAGATACGTCACGAATATGGAAACATTTGGATTCGTGCTGAATGAGAGAGGTAGGCATCAGTTTCACATACATTTTTTTTTTGATTTACATTTCTCTGCAGGACACTGGCCCTCCAGGACCGAGTTTGGGCACCCCTATTGTAGATCATCTCCTTACAAGGCCACTTATTAAGGTCTGGGTAGACTGGATGGTAAGCAAGCAATTGCTTCTCGTAAACAAACATATTGTGTGAAGAAGAAATGAGCAGGAATAAAGATCTGAGCAACTTTGACAAGGGCCAAATTGTTAAAGAGTTAGTTCACCCAAAAATGAAAATTAGCCTGTGTTTTACTCACCTTCGAGGCATCCTAGGCAAAGCTCTGAACCGGTTGAAGGAACGAAAACGAAACTGATCCTAGGTGTATATGACTTTCTTCTTTCAGATGAATCCAGTCGGAGTTATATTAAAAACTGTCTTTCACGAACCACGTGTGCTTTATTTGACGTTTTGGAATGTTGAACAAAAACACCCGCTTTTTTATTACAGTTTAATTTTCATTATTACAGTTTTACATGTGGAAATTGTTAGATGAGATGAACCTAATGATAGAAATTAGCATTTTAAAAATAAATGTATAAATAAATGAAATATACTGTTTGGTTCTTTACAGACACATTTCTGTCTTCCTTTAACTTCATTAATGCTTTTCAATGCTTTTTTCTGGAAGTTAAGGTAAAAAAAGCTATTTATACAAATAATGACTTGAATGCATCTCTATGATGAATCAAGTTCATCAATTCATCATCCAAATGATTTAACTGAATTAATTATTTAAGTAATTAACGAATTCACTTTTAGATAATAGCTAAAAGTGCTTTCGAAACCTAAACCATCATGAATTACAAGGACGTTTCTTGGTACGTTTTTTGAAAATAGAGTTTACAAAATCAGTCATCCTGATTTATCACTGATTCTGTTACAAAAAACGTCTAATAGCTAACTATAACTAAGTAAACTAACTGACTGGCCCTAACTAACTAAACTAACTAGCTAAATGTGAATAGCAACCCAATAATCAACTTATCACGTGGTCACAGAAAGGAAAGCTCAGATGCTTGACATTTGCTCAGAGTTTCCATGAGGTTACAGCTCATGCGAGACTACGACATCTATTGACTTTCTTACCTATCTCTCTAAAGAAACATGAGGTCATCACGCAGTACTGCTCGCTGCACACCGCACACTCGCATATACATATCAACACAATACGGCTATGCTCCACCTCCATTGACCTTAGGCGACAAGGCAGCAGACCTCCCTCACACAATACCTGCTGAGCCACACAGCCCGAGCATGCTTATTTCACCTTAAACGGAGCTGGATTCTGTTGTTGCGAGTAATATTTTGCGGATAAACATACTGTGTGAAACTATAGCAGAGACATTGTACATTTGGTTCAACTCTTTTCCCTCCAGCAGCCCGATTCTCATATCACTCGGGAACGACTAGGCGGTAAGTGGCACAGACGTATAGAATCGACACTTACAGTCAGAAATAACTGGCTTGTCTGAAAACATCTGCGACCTAAACGTTTGTGATCGCGCGATTTTGCTTAATAGAAACAAAGTAAGCTAAGGTATGTTACAGCATGTTTTATTACATCAGCATGGCTTTGACTGGATTTTTAAAAAATGATCTTCACCGTAAGCCTACACTAGTTGCCCATGTCTGTTAGAGCAGGATCAGGTGCCTTTGTTTCCCACGCTGCACTGTCACAGTGATGGTGCGAGTCAAAGTTTCTTTATAATGCAACAATAAAGCATCCGGTAATCAAATATAGGCTAATGCTGAAAATGTACTGTAGTTGGGTCATTCCTTATAAAAGGTGCCCTTTGTGTTTCCCATGAAAATGTGTAAACAATGACAAAACATGGTTTTTACTATATTATTAAAGGCACATTATTGTTGTCTTTCTGTATGAAGGATGTGTTTGCTTAATTAAAGAATATAGTATTTAGATTTAGCACTCTAGATCTTACCTGACATTAACATGTTAACCGTGTTACCATAATCTGTAAACAAAAATTATTATTGTAAATTTGATATTCCTAAAATTATTACCGCAAACTTCTATTTTTAATTATTTTAGGTTGATCTTATATACAATACAATACAATACATCTTTATTGTCAACCATGGTTGAAATTTGTCTTTGACCACACCAGCAAAAACCAAATACACATACAGACACATACTACAAAACACATAAAGACCATCATACTGAATCGCATAGCTTTTTGATTAATAAATCCGATCGCAGCAGGTACAAAAGACTTTTTATAAATATTTGTCTTTGCTCTAAAAATCGTCTCCCAGAGGGCAATAAAACAAACTGATCACACAGAGGATGAGTTGGGTCTTTTAATATACACTCCGCTTTCCCAACACATCTTGAGGTGTAAACCTCACCCAACTTACTCTGTGGTCTGCCAATGATTTTACTAGCTATATTAGTGACTCTTGCCAGATTATTTTTCTGCTTGCAATTAAGATGCCCATACCATGAAGTTAAATTATAGGTCAGCACACCCTCTACCAATGATTTGTAGGCAATCTCCAATATGTTTTGACTTACTCCAAACCTACTGATTCTCCGTATCAGGAATAGACGTTGCATGCATTTTTTTTAAATATTATTAGTGTTATCCACAAAACTCAGTTTACTGTCTATATATGTGCCAAGATATTTAAAATGATCAACAATCTCAACCGGGTGACTCTCTATCATTACAGGCACAACTGCAACTTCTTGCCTAGTACGACTGATAACTCTTAAATCATGTATAGTCAACATATAGTCAACTCTTAAATCATGATTTTGTATCATAAACAAATATCAAAAACTAGATTTTTGTAGAAATATCAGCATTAAATTCCCTTTCTAATAAATACCTTGTAGATTCATGACCTTCAGCATCAGGATTGTAGTGACTAAATTAAGTGTAAAGCTATTGTTTAATGTAGCTGATGGCACAATCAATTTAGTAACAAGAAGGCATTTTCAGATATAATGTATATATAAATGAAATATGCTTTTAAAAATCAAAATTTTCAATGGAAAAGGCACCCAGTTTCATGTAATGACCCAGTTTCTGCAGGCTCCACAGAAGAAAACAGACAGGATAATAGTTAAAAGTTAGAAACTGAACATACAGCATATAAACACACATAAGTACTTACTAATGATATAATAAGTGTATATATACAATATGGACTCGAATATCACTTAAGAATGCTGAATGATAAACTACTAACTGCCTATTGAGAATGTGGTAAATAATCCTTCTGAATTGTTGAAAATTGCATAACGTTTATAGGGGCTTTCAATGTCTGGGTGCTTAACGGCATAAGTATTGGTAGATGCAGATTAACCCATTTAATCCAATTTGTGAACAAAATTTATGTTGGAGTTTGAAGGGCCTTAAAAGAGTTGTTGTTGCGTTATAGAGTTATCAACTACTGATGGAAGTGCAGGTTTTCTGGAATTGATGTAAACAATTTTATTCTCTTTTTCACCACAACTAATTAGTAGAAATGTTTTAATTATTGTTTGCAGTTGCCCATTTGGTCTTATTGAGTAAGTAATTGAGTGAGTACTACTAGTGAGTAACTTTCTTTGGACGCAAAGGGTTTAAAATGGGCATACTGTACATGGCTAGTTCTACTAGAGTTGAAATAAATGTAGTGGGTAGCTTTTCTAATCCTTTCTTGCTTTTCAGAAGCTCCAGAGACATGGATTTTGGGATTGGACACATTATTGTGGGAATGACTCAAGCCAAACTTGCATCTGATTCTTAATCAGTCCTCTGTTGTTGGATATATAATGCCGGATTACTCAAGATGATGGAGTTGAATTATGCTTTCATAAGTGAAAACGGGAAGGAAGTGGATAAAACTTTGGACTGGAGTTACGTAGACTGGCATGAAAAGAAAACGGTCAGAGGGACAGATGCACAGACCCAAACCCAATGCGTACAAAGTGAGGACAAAGACACACAAACTGCTAGTCCTTTCATAATGCGAATAGATTTAGGAAGGATGCCCTCCAGACTGAGGTACGGTTCCCTTACAGAGTCTGACCGCATGCCTCCACACTTATTTCAGTTTGACAGACAAGCCCCGGCCCGCATCTCCACATCTCCCACTCTGAGGAGGATGAGGAGCACGAGAATCTTCTACAGAGATCCAAGCAAGTCAGACGGTCCTTTAGGAGAGGAGTCTCCCACTCCCACGAGTCCCCTTCCTCCATTATTCCGGCAGAAATCTCCACTGGTGGTTCAGTCGGATGGAGAGAATGGGAACTTTGAATCTTCAGTGATTTATGGGACAATTAGATCACACAGATCAAAGACCCTTGACAATGGCGTCATTTGCAAAAGCAAAGAGTCTCATGATTCAAAGGAGCCAGTTTCTGATGATAATGAGAGCACAACCAATGACAATGACCAGGTATACAATGAGTTAAAGATGTCTTAAATAAATTAATTAAAAATGTGATTTAAAAAATTATTTAAAAAAAAAAGTATTTTCTATTATAGGTTTTGCATTCCTAACCCTAAATATATATGAACAGTAAATATGATACTTTACTGAAACTTATTACATCTATCTAGCGATCTGATATTTTTTAATATTCCATGCTGTCCATGGCAAATGCAACTGGCACCATCCTCGGTATTACGGTATTATCGTTTTTATTTTTGCAGAAGGTTTAAGGTAATATACAGGTAAAATAATGAATTAAAAACTTATGCAAACTTATCTCCACTTATGCATGTATTATATTTATGTAGTAGTTGAATAAAATTTGCTTATTTTTTTTAAATAGTTCATTTTCATTTTAATATTTTGTGTGCTTTTGGCATTTTTTTTATATTATTATTTCAGTTATTTTTAATTCAGTTTTAGTTATAGTTCAGATTTAGTTTTTATTTATTTCCATTTAGTAGTTTTAGGGCTTCAGCTTTCCAATTTTAAAATAAGTTTTTCATATAATATTTATATTTTAGTTTATTTTATTTGAGATTTATTTCAATTAACAAACATGTCTTTTAATAGTTTTAGTTTCTGTTAACAATATTAACCTGATCATCTGCTGGCTTATTATTATCCATTTCTGCTGACTTTATATTATCCATTTCTAAGTTGATAATAATCAGTTTCCTTTGTTATGATATGTGATGATACAATCTTTTTTTCAAATGGCAAGAATCTTTCCGCTCTTAGCAAAGAAAGCCTGTCTCATTCTTCTTCGAACTCCCAAAGTAGTAGTTCACAATAAAAGCTTCTGACTGCAATTGAATCAGTCGCTTCGTGCACTCACAGCTTCGAGCAAACCCTCTGATGAGACTCCTTTCACCACAGTCAGCAATCACCAAATAATGGAAGGGTCAGTGAAGGATCAAAAGTATAAAAGAGAAGCCCCATTCACTCCTTTCAAGCACTGATCCAAGCCTTGCCACAATAGAGTGAGATATCAGTAGAAGTGAGAACTTTAGGGGTCTTTAACTCACACATTGTATGATGATATCCTCTGAAATTGATATTTTGCAACTGATGACCAGTGTTTTTCCCTCATCAAGTACTTTGCTCACATTTTGCTGTATCTTCTTTTGATTACAGGTCAAGGATCCCTGTCATAAAAGGTATGTGATCTGTCTCTATCTAATGTTTTGCATAAACCGTCCCCACCCGAGTCATATTTGCATGTGAACCATAATTCTGCCCTCAATGTCCTAGTCACTTTGTTCTGTGTCAAACCAGCATTTCCTTGTTCACTTAAACTATTTGTCCTGTACGTGTTGCTCAACATCTCTAATTTGTAGTGTTGTTTCATTAATCCAGGAATTAGTTTGTGTGGAAACACACTGTTTGTGGTAATGAGGCCAAAGCAGGACACTTTTTCAGTAGAGCGCCACCATGCTGACGCAGGGGGAGCTGGGGTAGAGGGAGGTTCATTGTTCATTGTATTGCTGCTTTGTTAGCTGTGCACGAACTTTTAAGAGAGAGCTATTAGAGTCCCATCGTTCAGCCCAGACAAACTCTCATTAGTGCTGCTTTTCTCCCCGTCGGGCCCACTGTGCTTGGACCATGGTCGTCTTTTCAGCGGTGGATAATTAGGCAGCTATTGTGGCCTTAATTACAGTATGGCACCGTCTGATTGCAGTGCTCATCCCTGGACGGCGATTGTACGGGACAGTTATTCATTATTCCGTGGAGGTGCGAGGACAAAGCTTCCTTCTTTGTGGCTGTGCCGGGGTTGGGATAGTCAGCATAGAGGGCTGCTTTATTCTAGGACTGCATTGTGGATGTACCTCTAGATAACAAGCCATTAGCAGTGACCTGTTTTTAATGTCGGTAAAAAGGAGATGCGCTGAGTGACTTTAACTTGTAGGGTTTCAAAGCCTAATGTACTGGCATCTGTGTTTCTGTTTGCATTTGCAAAAGAGAAGTCAGAAGTGTAAGTAGCAAACACATGAGGCTTTTTATTAGCCTCTGTATCTCTGAAAAGGTCCAAAAGGATGCAAATGATAAAGTAAAACGTTAATAAGGAAGCATTTGATGGGTTCATTGTGCCAGGTGCCGTGGGAATGGGTGTTCACTTTATAATGCTGAAGAAATTATATCTCATAGCAACTGTATATGACTCAAGTGTTTATTGGTATATGATCCCATATTTACTGTGATGAACACAGAAAGATTGATAATAGTATCTGCAGTTGTTATTATATTTAGCTCTTCAGTTAGTGAACTTGTTATGTTGGCTTGACAAACTCAAGCTATGTACACCAATCTTGTCACAGACCTTCATCCATCCATCCATCCATCCATCCATCAATCCATCCATCTGATTTAATTTAGCTTAAAAACCAAAACCAGTTAATCAATTAATCAAAATGTTTTAATAATCAATACTTGATTTTAATAATCAACTGAATTGTATATAAAAATAATTCCGTTTTTAACTTGTTCATTATATCAATGTGTTTCTACTGCAGTTCTTTGTTGAATTATAAACATTGAAATGGTGGCTATAATAACTTATTGACAGATTTATTCAAAATGCATTAAATAATTAAGACAACAGGTCAAGTAAAAATGAATGAATATGACATATATAGCACATATTGAATAATGAGCTATGGACATTAAATGGGTTTTCTGAGGTAAATGTAACGTTATGTTACATGACATTCTTCATGAAGTGTTTTATTGACATCTTTCCGCCTTTGAAACACTGTGATTACATGAGACGTAATACATTTCAGTAAGTTGTACAGTTTTTTTCAACATATCTTCTGATGTTCATTCATGTTTATTTTGTGCTATAACTAGTAGTAAAGTGGAAAAGAAGATCGATCTGTCACGCCACATTGAAGTAACATTTATTGTTTGAATTTCACAATAAAATTGACTTAATTTGAAGGCGGACTATTTGTCTATCTATAACACTATTTATCAGTCCTATACTATATACATATATATATATATATATATATATATATATATATACACGTATATACATATATATATGTGTGTGTGTGTGTGTATGTAAAGATCAAAGATCATAAAAATGATACATATATTTTTTAAATTTATTTTAGTAACTGTAGTTTTGCATTTACTTTGCAGTTAACGGAAATGTTTTAAACCAATAGTGTTTGTCATAGTTTTAGCTTTCCTGTGTATTTAACCCTGGTTAATACACAAAAGCACTAGGAAAAAAATCAAACATTTGACTTGATTAACAATGACTTCGCTCCTATGGCTGCAGGCAAAAAATCAGGATGCTTTTCCACCCCTGCTGCTCTTTGTTCTTAACCAGTGGAAATATTAAAATTTCAACCTTACAATATATCCAACTGTTCAGGTATCAGTAGACAGGCCTGTAGATCCATTATGCAATGGTGTGCGTGTACAGCTGATACATGGTATGGTTTTGTTTATCATCTTTTCAAACGCAGTTCCGGCCACCTAATACTAACAAGGCATGTTAGAAATGTGAACATGGAATTCTTTGATTTCCTGCTAAATCAAATCTGCCTTGAATTTTCAAGTTTAGCATGGCTTGGCTCTGCATAAAGAGATTACAACAGCGCATTGGCCAGGGTTTATCAAATCTTCTCTGATTAATTTAATGGAATAATTGTTTTCCGTGGTATAAAGAGCTATTGTGTGGACTGGAGTAAAGGTAGAAATAATTTGGCAGAATTGCAATTCACGTGTAGATCTACCCTCTAAACTCGTCCGGCTTGTGGCGAACTTGTAGAAAGTGTTGTTATACAAATACGAAGCAAATAAATCTTAGATGTGATGCTCTGTGGTTAACCAACATTATTTCAGTGAGCATCCATCATGCATAATTTGAAAGGCTGGCTGCCTCAGGGGCCGGAATGTTCTCCGAACTCACCTGCTCTCTTCTGGTTTGCTTTTTCTCAGGATGCAGGAGAGGAGGCGGAGCTCCGTGGTTGTGAGTCTTCCTGGACTGGATGTTTCTCCTGGAGATTTGTTCGTGTCCAATGGCGTTGCTGATATTTTAAATAAATCAGCCTATTCAGGTTAGTCATGCCTCAATGTCATGACTCTGGGTTTAATATGATATGCTAACATGTGCTACTGTATACCTGTAGAATTAAATAATGAAAGAACAAAAGTATATAAATCAGTTTTATAGCCCATCTCCAACTAGCAATACTTAATAAAATGCAAGACTTTATGCAGAACATTTTATTTTATTGCACTCTTTTACAGACACTAAGAAATCAAAGTGGCCTTTCTCGAGGCGTAACACAGTAAGTGCAAATATTCGCATATTTTAACATTTCAGTACCATCATGCAGATATCTGTTCCATGACGTTTTGATCTTGTGCCAGTTCTGTGGTTGTTGCCATCTGCAGATACTCATAATTTTTTTAGATGCTTCAGATGATATCTAGCACATAGTGTTCACTGACCCACTTTGAGCTAAATCAGATTTGAATGCACACCCCCCTTCCCCCAATCAATTCCATTAACAGTAAACAACAACAAAACGGGCACGTCTAACAGAGCTCAAACATGCCGTGCTATGCAGTCTGCTCCACAGTTTGTGCTTGACAACAAAGAGACCTGTTGAGGGCAGGGCGCTGTGATGTTAAATAAATGTGAGTGGTGTTTTTCAGCAGACAAAAGGGAAGACTCGCAGCGTAGCTGACATTGACAAGTGTCTGGCTGGCATTCAGATCCAGGAATGGCGAGACACAGACTTTCAGACATATAAGGTAAGTGTTCAAAACTGGTGCCTCAAAACTGCTATGAGTTGAAAACTCCCTGAGGTGAGCACATTAGTTTTATGCATGGCAATGGCCACACCCCAGGTTACTTGGTTAAAAAAAAAAAACCGAATAGGCATTACCATACTTCCTTGGTTGGTTGATTACTGCAAACTTTTTTTTGTATTACACTTTTTCTGTAATGTTATGTTTAAATATGCAAAAGAGGCATTATCTAATTAACTATTCACTAATAAATACATTTCCATAACAGACTTCTAAACATTGAATAAAGCCAGGTTCAATTTGTTTACATGTTAGTTTTTTTTACAGAGGGGATTTTGGATTTTTTTTATCACTCCATATATTGTCATATGTATGAATTGTAATTGAAATCTACAGAGGCAAATAAACACTTTAAAGTGTATTTAATGTTTTTCACTAGTCTGAAATCTATGTTTTTGCCTGTAATGTCTTGCTTAAAGGAGTCAGTTTTCTATCATTTTTCAGGATATGTCTTTGGAGGACTTTTTGAGAGGTCACTCTGAACTGGGAGCAGCGGAGAATCCAAAAGCCTACCGTAAACAGGAAGCCATTTGGGAGCTTTTCACCAGTGAATGCGTCTACTTCCTCGATCAGCTCATGGTTTTAAAAGAGGTATGAACACAATGCCTTCAGAATTATGGAATGACATGTCCTCCGGTGAAAGAGACAAACTGCCAAAAATTGAGTTTTAACTACTGTATGTCGCATGGTTACAGTAGCTTTACTAGCGAACCATTAGATAGCTCAAATGTTCTGGGGCCAACAGACCATTTAATCACTTTGTAAGAATAGAACTTACATGTGTTTGCTTTTGTTCTGCATGTAGGTGTTTTTGACCACACTAACAGACCTTCAGATAAGAGAGTGTCTTCAAGACATTGACTCCTGGAGGCTCTTTGCAAATCTCAATGAGCTCTGTCTGGTAAGACTTCAATGAATTAGGTGGAACTATGTGACCCCGGACCACAAAACCAGTCATAATAGCACGGGCATGGGCGATGTTTGACTCTTGAGTCGGGGGGGGCAAGAAATATATATTTTTTAAATATATATAGATATACAGTGGGTACGGAAAGTATTCAGACCCCCTTAAATTTTTCACTCTTTGTTATATTGCAGCCATTTGCTAAA